GGTAAAAATGGTTGCTGTAGACATTAGGTTTATAATACCCAGAAATTCATACCCAGATGTCCTCAAGGACACATGGATAAAGGCGTTGGTTAGATCCAGTGACAGGACCCAAAGAGTGTGAGTTCAATAACCGGTTAAGGTAGTGGAGAACTTTCAGGGGGAAATTAACAGGCGATAACTGATAACTGACATCCATCAAACATGGCACGTGGAACTAGAACAGTCTGAGGATGTACATAATACCTCATCTCATATAGACAGACGCCGTCTTTACTGTAGAAGAGTAACCTTCCCTAATGAGACGCCCTCGGTACTACATCCGGCATCAGGAGCTTTTGAGGAGCGGGGAACCACCTCTTAATTGTTGTTGTTCTTAGGTTCACCCTAACCCGGGGTGGTATGGGCAAATATTTAATCCCCAAACTGGGATCAAAACACTATGAATGTATAAAAATAGATTTTTATAGTAAAAATACTAGCAATACATTTTTGAAAAAAAAAATTACCAGCAATTATTTAGTTGAAGCCATAAAATTGTGTTCAAGATATATAGATTTTGGCATTAAATAACCCATATGTATGTATGTATATATATATGTTTGTGTGTGTGTGTATGTGTTCAAAAGTTATAATATCACTACAAAAATAGCCATTTTGTTTCAAGTTTGTTGGTATATATGGAATAAACTTCCAGTTACAAAAAAACATTATTTTTTAAAACAAGTGCTCAATACAGAGGATATGTATTTATTTTACTTTCAATATATATTTATTTTACTTGAAATATATATATATATATATATATATATATATATATATATATATATATATATATATGTATGTATGTGTGTGTGTGTGCGTGCGTGCGAGCATGTGTGTGTGTGTGTAAGTGTCGTTCCTTATCTATCTATGGACCTCTCAAAATACTATACATATTCTTCCTCAACTCATGCTGATATTCTGTTTAAATAAATATGTATGCTTATATAAACGTCTGAGTACTGTTGATCTACGTTTTTCTATTCTTACACGGGGTCACCGACCGTTAACATTGACAATACCGTCTTAAAACAATTGAATGTATTTAGCAGAAGCAATTGAAATCTTAAATGAATGATTTTACAAAATACATGAAAATTACGATTGAAGAGGGAATTCGATAAATTTCTATTTGTAATTGAAGTCAAATATGTTGAGCATGCAACATGCTTCAAGAAACCCTGAAGCATTTCCACTTTCCCGCAGGGGAAAATCGCTTTTATTCGTTCCCATAAAATGATGTCTACGCGAAGCGTTGATACTTGAAAAATGAAATTTGTTTTAAAATAGAAAAAAAAAAACCCCCAAAAAAAAAAAAAAAAAAAAAAAACGAACAGAAACAAAAGCATGATGAGTAAATGTCTGCGCATGTCTCTAAAGTGGCCACGTCACAGACGCCATTATTGGCGAGTTAAACATGGCTGCGTGTTGAATTGGCGGGCTTTCGGGGATACACCATTGTAAATAGGTCAAGATAACTTGCTATTGCAGTTTTTATTTCCATTTTTGACTTCACAATAACCAGAAATGATGGAGATATTTCTAAGCGCAAGTTAAAACAAAAACAAAGTTACATGCGAAAAGCTGAATCGAGAGAAATGTCTTTTCCCAACAGATCAGCAAAAAGTTCAAAACCATCTGACCTATGATTTTTTCTTCTTCTACTTCTTCTTCATCACTATTATTATTATTATTATTATTTCTAATCAGGTTTTCATACCGTGTTTGCTGCTGGTTTTCATTGAAGACCAAGTGACAGCAAGTTTCCTCACTACTCCAGAACTCTCCTCAGTGTTCTGTCGGATTTTACCAGTATTATCTTTTGGATGATGTTAATTCTCCTGCTGAATTCTATCTCCCCTAGTCTTTTGCCCCTTGGTTCTTTGGGACTGTTTCCAGGGTTCCGATAACAGTTGATACAATCATCACCTTAATTATTTTCAACTATTTCCCTATCACTCTGGATTCTCGTGCGATCGCCGAAGTTAAGCAACGCCAAGCCTGGTCAGTGAGAGTAGTGGCTCGGAATTGGATATAGGAGAGCCGAAATCCAATTCCAATGGGATTCGTTATATTCACTCCCGTACAAATAGCCTTGGGAAAGGCATGAATCCTCCTCTTCTGCCCCAGCTATGGGTAATTTAGTAGGACTTATAATTATCCACTCCAAAAAATTCTTACAATCTGAAACTATTTTTTGGCTTTAAATAACCTGCAAAAGATTGATAAACCGTAAAAAGCAAATTAATCAACCAATCATCTAGCTCTATGGTAACATCGAAATATTTTTCTGCCTCTTTCACATCTCTTTAGTTCTTTAGTTCTACTAAAAAGTTTGCAGGAGCAGCGTGCGCTGCTATCCGCCGTGTACTTATCTGTTTTGCTTACACCTACCATATCCGGTCATGCGCACTAGACTGGGTGATCCGTTGAAATCTCTAATATTATTTGCTTCGTTTTTCAATAGTAGTCCAGTCACTATATACGGTTCCTCTTTCAATGAAGGACCCAATGCTTAGAACGTCTGTTAAATTTGAAGTTCACTCGAGACAATGAGTGGAAATTCATCGCTAAAATTGCTGAAAAACTTGGTCAGCTCATTCCATCGCTCCTGAAATGAGCTAATTTCTTCAGCAATGTTTTATCTGTAAAAGAGTCAAACAAATTTAAAAAACAAAAACACGAATGATTTATTTTTATGGAAATATTTCGACTAGCAGTTGCCAGTCTTGGTCACTCCTCAGTTTGAGTAAAAACAGTGCAAAGAAGCTCGAAACGCTTAAATATTTCCATAAAAAAGAATCATTCGTTGGAACTCCAAGTTTTTTTCTTTTAATTATGCAACTACCAACGGAGACAAGCATCCTAACTTTAAGAGTCAAACAAAGACTAAAAATGGAGTATTACTATTATATCTGGACTGGAGCTGCTCAGTATTCAGTTTCAAGCTTTGATAAACCTCAAAATTGTTTGGGTAAACTTACGAAAGAAATCTTATTTTCCACTCTACAGCCTGTTTCCCCATAGACGCAAAGCTACAAGCCTATCCCCACTCTATTGCTATTTCCATGACAGATCAGCTCCATCCTTTAGTGTCACTTTTCAGACCTTTAAAGCTAGGAATAGCCACGGATGAGCTATATTTCATGGTACACCATTTATAAGGAAGAGCTTCTATTCAGTCCCCCCCACAAGAACTGTTACTATATGGAATAAACCTCCGCGTGCATATTTCCATGGATACCACAATCTTAACCTCTTCAGATTAAAGGTCAATCCTCCTTAATCCCATTTCCTTCTCCCTCCTTTTACACACACACATACACACACACACACATATATATATATATGTATATTAAAAAGAAGAGAAGAGAGGTGCCGCAAACGTTTTTGGTTGTAATGTGGATTAAAAAAAAATATTATGCTTTATTTTCCATAATTTTACTACATGTATTTCTGATTCGGATTACTAACACAAAAACAGAGAATGTCTCATATCGAAAATATTTAACATTGAAAAACATTAAAAAAAATTAATCATTTTTAATAATATGTGGAAATCTCCGCCTTTTATCTGAAGACGGTCGCGAGACCAGAAAGCCGTGTAGTAAAATTATTGAAAATAAAGCATAATATTTAAAAAAAAAAAATCCACACTACAACCAAAAACGTTTGCGGCACCTCTCTTCTCTTCTTTTTAATATACACACTTTTCTCTCGTTGGAACCACTACGTCTTTCTTTTTATATATATATATATATATATATATATATATATATATATATATGAATAGAGAGAGAGAGAGAGAGAGAGAGAGAGAGAGAGAGAGAGAGAGAAGGGAAAACTTCAATACATATATATATATATAGTAAAGTTTTCCCTGCACAAGGCCCGAGGGTCACTCGAGGTAGAGGATTACGTTAGGATCATTTTGTACGGATAAGAAGGGAAGGTAATGGTTAACCCTAGACTTGAACTTGATTGTAGTGATCGGTGAAGAATCCTGTTGTGAGTTACTTCCACAGAGCAGAGGTTCGCGGGAAGAAACTGTTCGAGTGGAAATTACTTCTCACCGATGGAATACGGAGGGAATGTGGGTGGTTTCCTAGAATGTAAGTGACATGGCGGGTTCTTGTCGTAAAGGTCTGAATTGGTGGGGCCAGGGAATGTAGCTCGTCCGAGTACTTTCCATGAAAGTACCGATAGAGAGAAGCTTGCCACATTCCGCCTGTGAGAGAGAAGTTGTGGGGTAGAAAACAACTGGGAGACGCCTTTGAACTGTATCGAGGTTTGAAAGTGCGGTCTGGACAGTTCCCGCCCAAATATGACAAGACTATTTCATTCTTAGCCTGGGCACGTGGAGTCAGGTACTTACTAGAGCGGTACAGGGATCCGACCATTTTACCTGCATCTTTACCGATAGCGCGTATGTACGAGTTCTACTTGAGGTCAGGTGTCAGCTTAAGGCCCAATTTTCTCTCAAGACACGGTGTCTCTTCGAGTTGACATCCATTCACCGTGATTTTCGCGGTCCGATCGACGATGGTGGAATGTAACTAGTTTGGTCTTCCAGGCATTGAATGTAACCAGCCTCATATATCTTATTCCGTAATCCTATACCATGTGTGGCTCTTAAGCCTTGCTTTGGGTGAGTGTAATTGGGGAGACGTAAAATATTTGGGAGCCGTCGATGGTTGTACTAGCATAAAGTTACAAGCCATCGTGACCGACGGTTCGAGCGTGATGGCCTTGTTCAGACTGTTGATCACGACAGATAATGCACTTTCTCCCAGAAACTGTAACTAAGGTCTGTTCAGTATAAAACACAGGTGGGCTATGTGGGTGTTGAACAAACACAGAAAGAAAGGTATCGGCTTGTAAATGAATATAACGAAGCCTACTGGAAGTGGAGTTCGAAACTCAAATTTCCAGTTCCGAGACGTTATCATTTACTCCACCCGCACATCCAACTCCTAAGCGGTCACCCGCCTAGGTACTGTCCACGCTCGATGTTGCTTAACTTTGGTGATCGTACGAGAACCGGTGCTTCAACGTGATATGGCCGTAAGTCTATTTTAAATTTTTACTTATGCCAAAAACATTACTGTTCTGTTTTTCTTACTTATATCTAGATTATTAATCTGAACTAATAACATTTTATTGAGCATTTAATAAATATAATTACTAAATGATCAAATATAAATTCCTACGCCACGAGAAGCATGCATGCATGCATCTATCTATCTATCTATCTATCTATCTATCTATCTATCTATCTCAATCTGTTCATATCTATCTATCCCAATCTGTTCATATCTATCTATCTATCTATCTATCTATCTATCTATCTATCTATCTCAATCTGTTCATATCTACGTATCCCAATCTGTTCATTATCTATCTATCTATCTATCTATCTATCTATCTATCTATCTATCCTCCTTTCGATATCTATCTTTTATCAGAAAAAGTTCTCTTCTAAAAAAATTTTGTAAGCGGTACATTTCCTGTTACTACGTCGCTAAGAGTTTTCAAAAATACCATGTAATTACAAGACGTTGGCGATCATGGCTCTCCGAAACTTTCTTTTCATGAATATCTTTGAATTGCCATGATTTCTTAGGAAGTTTTCGATCCAGGGTTATCCTTCTCCTAGACTTGCTTCCAGTTAAGGCTAGAAAGTCCACGTAGCTTGGTTGGGGAAGAAAATATTGATTCTTGCCTTTCCCTAGATCATTAGTGCGAAGGTAACCGATATGTTACATGCTTATCCGATGTTAAGGGCCGCAAGCTGGATATCCATGTGTATGTCGATGTGTATGAATCGATGTGTATGAGTGTGTGCGCGGGAGTGTATGTATTTGAATTTTGGAATTTTTATACCCATAGGATAGGATCACCGAAGGGGTTCTCGCCCCGGACTTTTCCGGAAGGATTGGCAGAGAAGGAGAAGGGGATTCTTCCCGTCGGAGTAGATATTGCGGTTTTAGTGTCTGTTCCGTTCCAGAGGCCTTCTCTCCTCCCTAGCGTTTCCCTCCACCGTTGCGTAACATCTGTACCATAGTGGTGGTATGACCGGCTATGGCTAGCTTGGACAAGCTCTGACCTGCTTAGACTAGCTTAGACAAGCTTTGACCAGCTTAGACAAGCTGAGACCAGCTTAGACCAGAGGACCGAGTGGAAACACACGAGTCCCTACGTTAAAAACCGACCTTATGTCACAACCTCACCCAGTGTGTGTGGGTGGGTTTAAGATAAATCTCGGTATACGATCACTCAAGTTAAGCAACACTGAGCCTAGTCAGTACCTAGATGGATGACCGCATGGGAATACCAGATGCTGTAAGGTTGGGTGTGCGGGTGGTGTAATGTAATTGTTAATCGGAGAACCGTGTTCCAATTCCTGTGGGGTTCGTTATATTCACAAATGCGCAAATATCTTTGGGAAAGGTATGAATCGACCTCTTCTTCCCCTAGCTATGGGTTAATTAGTAAGACGTGTATCGCTAAATCATTATTAGCTACCCATCCCCACAAAATTCTTACATTCTAAAAATATTTTCTGGCTTTAAATAACCTACTAAGGGTTGATAAGTCGTAAAAAACGAATAAATCACTAACCATGGAAGGTTAGCTGATAATTAAATACGAATGACCGTATTGATACAAATGCCCTATCATCAAGTTAGCCAAGCGTTTCCCGTATGGCACCAAATATTTCACAAACGGATATTTCACTCGATCAAGAGAAATCAAGAAGACGAGTTCGAATTCCAGTCGGGCTCTTTACATTCACTTACTCACAAATACCCTTGGGAAAGGTATGAATCTATATCCTTCTCCCAGCTACGGATTAAATACTAGAACTTTTGTCCGGAAAAAGTGCAATATTCATTCGCAAAAAAAGAATTATTCTTACTATTTAAATATGTTTCGTTTTTAAATAATCCATAAAGGGTTGATAAGCCGTAAAATACAAATGAGTCAAGAAATAAAGAACTCGATCATGAAATAAAGAACATGATTTTTATTTTGTTTTTCGTTTCAGAAAGCCATATCGCGACTTAAGATACCTAAACTTTTGAGTAACGACTGAATTTTATTATAAATAATTTTAGAATAATATCTATATTTTAAATTAGTTCCTCTGTTGCTGCTTTCGCCATTTATCGTTAATTTCTTCATAAAAACATCTGGCTTCTTTTATTGTAATTACAATTTTAAAAAAACCCAAACAGTAAAATGCGCATTATCTGTTGCAAATAAAAAAAAAACAATGAATCATTCGTATTAATTATTAACTTTTTCTTTTTTTTATTGCAATCTAAAAAATTAAAAAGAAAATTTCGTTTCTGAAGAAGAATATTTTTTTTATTATATAAAAATAAAATTTTTTAATTTAGTTCTTAATTTAGTTTTTTTTTTCGATTCTGTAATTCGAGAGAAAAATAAAAACAAAAATAAAGAGAAAAAAACGACATAAAAATGACATGAATTTCAAGTCGACACTAACGAAGTCAGCTGTTTGCTTAAAAGATAAAAAAAAATATGTTGCTTTCTTTACTTCGTCACTAACCCATCACTAATTCTGCTTCCCCTCTCTCTCTCTCTCTCTCTCTCTCTCTATATATATATATATATATATATATATATATATATATATATACTTTTTACTCTCTGTAACTCTTCACTATTTCTCGCTATCTGTCACGTTTTCTTTGACTCTCTTCTTCTAACTCCTTTTCTTTCTGTCTATCGCTTTCTCTTTTTTTTTTGTCAGCAGCTCTTTTTGTCTTTTTTTTTCTCTTTTGCTCCTTCTCCCCTTCTCTATTTCTCTCTTTATCTGGCTCTTTCCCTCTTTCAATCGTCATCTCTTGCTCTCTTTCTATCGCTTTATCTCTTCCTTCTTCTTCTCCCACTCTCTCTATCTTCTTCAATCTTGCTCTCTCACTAGAAGGAGAGCAAAAGTTAGTATTTTCTTCTCTTTCTCCCCTTGTATCTTGGTCGTTCTCTCTCTCTTTTTTTTATCTTACTCCTTTTCTACTTCTTTTTATCTCTTTTCTTGCATCTCTTTCTCTTTTGCTTACTCTTTTTCACCCTCATTCGATATCTCTCTTTTTCACACACACACACATTGTTTCTTTTGTTCTCTCTTTGTAGCTCGATATTATTCTCTCTTCCTATTTTAAAGACGACCAACATATTTCCTATAAACATTAAAACAAAAAAGCAATACAATTATTTTTTTCGAAATTTAGTCTTAGTGGCTTTCGTATCATAACATAATTATAATTGTCTTTTTGTTCAACAATACAAAATTTTAAATATAAATCGAATTAAAATTATAACGACTATTTTATCTGATGCTAATATCCTTTGTTCCATGATTTTATTTTGACCAGTATCCCCGTCTTTGTTGTTTTGATCATAGGATTTAGCAGTCCTTGTCTTGAGCTGCAAATTTCCCGGTTATTAAGGAAAATACGAACTATATTTTCGCATGTCCTTATATAGTAAGACAGAGGAAAATATCGTTAAAAAATACAATAATGAACCTCTATGTAATATCTAACCTCATGCATGGCTGTGATTGTTGGTCAACTGAAGAAGAAGTAACGTGAAGCAATATGGAAAACAACGAAGGCTAAGAATAGCATAGACAGTACATGTGAATAATTAGGAAGTATAATAAAAACGAGGAAACTTGTACATGTAATAAAAAGAAGACAGCTATAATTTCTGAGACATACAATGAAGAAAGACGATCTGGAGAAGTCGACACTCACAAGATATATTAATGGCAAGGGAGGCAAAGGTAAACTACGTAACGAGTTTAGGCGAATGGATAGCAGAACAGGGACAAAGAGAGATTATAGAGTCAAAAGTTACTTAAAACAACAAAAGATAGGAAGTTGTGGAGAGTCGTAATCGCCGACATCCCGAAAGGACAAGGAACATAGAAAGATCAAGAATAATACTGAATGCTCTTTGAACGAACTCACATGCTAAATGCCACTAAAACATTGAACAATTTCAAGTATAACATTCGTTTTCTCATCGGATTTATTTAGTTTATGCAGCTAGATGATCCAAGGAAAACTCTAAGAGCTCTGAGGATTTATTATCAACATAATCCTGAAGAAATGAGATACTATTTTGATGGTAAACTCAAGAAGGAAAGGACTCTTAGACAAGGAAATCAAGAAGAATTGGCTATTAATAGTAAGAAGACAGAATGGTCGTCAGCAAAAAAGGCAGCCCAAGGTGTGATTTACCTATTGGTACAGAAATTTAAATATCTACGTAACAGACGACAGAAAGTAATGACATCGAAATCAGATGACACATACGAATAGGGAAAGATGCCTTTCAGAAACATAACAAAGTATTAAGAGATAGGAAATTTTGGACACTCTCCTCACAGATGAAAAAGAGACTTTAGATGCGGTTCGACTGATAAATGCTAAGAACAGGATGGACATGTGAACAATGAGGAAGTCATAAGAAAACTGCAATAAGAAAGAGACAGGTGAAATTTCTGGGACGCATAATGAGGAAGAGGGGCCTGGAGAATTTAACCCTCACAAGGCATATTGAAGGTAGAGTGGCTGGAAAGAGCGTGGATGACAGAACGAGGATGAATAAGGATAGTAAAGAGTAAAAACTTACTTGAAGGAATAAAACACAAAAAGATATGGTAGGCTATGGTTGCTTGCGTGCAGAAAGGACTTGGGCCACAAAAGAAGTAGAAGGATTCCGAATTCCACCCACATACATACACACATATTGGAAGCTGATTGTAGATATAGTTTCTATGCATAATCCAGAGGGAGATCAAAGGGCACTTGGTATGAAAATGCTAATTATATATATATATATATATATATATATATATATATATATATATATATATACAATTTTGAATAATTCTTGGAATGATGAGCCTAACATATCGAAATTAATTGTCTGTCGGGAATAGCATGGACAGAATATGTGAACAATTTGGAAGTTAATTATGAATTTGATGGTTTGACACTTATCTCCACGAGAGCACCTCTTTACGACTGCTCGGTCTCACATTGTCTGCTGACCTGAGATGGAACAAATACATTGAAGCAATAGCTTCGTCCACCGCAAGGAAAGTTGGCTCCCTGTACCCCGCCAGGAAATTTTTCTCGCCGGAGTCGATCCTTCAAATCTACAAATCAACCATTCGCCCTTGCATGGAGTATTGCTGCCATAGATGGTCTGGAGCCCCTTCTGTTTGTCTCAAGGTCCTTGATAAAATCCAAAGACGGATATGCAATCTAATTGACCCTGATCTGGCATCTTGTCTGCAGTCGCTCTCTCACAGACCAGCCGTTGCCCCCTCTGTGTTATTTATAAATACTTTCACGGTAACTGCTCCGATGAGCTGCTTTCATTTGTTCCCAGACTTCATGAATTTAAGCGTTCAACTAGGCTGGCATCTCGCTCACACCCGTTCACTGTCGAAACTGTTAAATGTAGCCGTCTCTTCAATGAAGCTATTGATGTCTCGCACCTCTCGCCTGAGGAACTCCCTCCCCATTTCTTGTTTCCCTGATAGCTATAATCTCCAACTATTCAAATGTAATATCAAACGACGTCTCCAGATACCTTGATCTATCCCCTATCCTTCTCCTCGTCCTTTTCTCTATCACTCCTATTTGCTCTCACTGTAACCCTTTGCGTGCTAGTGGCTTCCCGCCTTTCTTGGGGTGAAAAAAAAAAAAAAGAAAAAAGAAAATCCAGCTGTTGTTGGCACCCGATCGTATCCGAGCATCGGGATCATTCTTTCCCTTTCTCACCCCATCCGCCTAGTGGTGGAGATGGCTGTGAATCAAATAGAGTCATTCGCGTGAATTTGATTTTGGTGGCCAATTCCGCGCGACGGAAAAACCCACACACTTGGCCAGAAGCTTCTCCCTCTCGCTCAAAGGAGATTGAGACAGGCGAGATCTGGCAAACCTGGTTGAATCGGCCTGTCCGCCTTGGTTACGCCAGCCCGACTGGTTCTGCCTTCTTTCACCGGCTTGGCTATTGAGATCGTGTAGACATCCTGTTCCGCCGTTGTGGTTTTCAGGGGTTGGTCACGTTCAGTCTAGCCCTTTCTAAATCCAACCGAAACTAAGCCAGATATGTCTATTTCGAGAGCCAGGGAAAAAAATCTGTGTTTAAAAGCACTATTCAAATTTGTCAGGCTTAAAGCACACTGGCTCGTATCCTACCGTTTAATAAATAAACGGAGCATCTACTCAAATATGGGTGTCCACTAATAATAACCCAAATCCTTTATTTAGTCCATAGGGGTAGATTGTTCTAGTACCATGTGCCTTGCCTTTGGATACCTCAGTTTAAGTTTTAATTTCCCTTGATAACTCAATTCTCTTTTTGTTTTCTCTACTGTTGTCAGAGATTTTTGAATCAATCAACCAAGGCTCTTATCAACTGGGCCGTGTGTCCAGGGGGACATTATTGTTCAGGGGGGACATTATTGAGTAAAATTTGGGGAATTATATACCTAATGTCTCAGTAATAATTTTTTACTGTGCTTATCCTCATCATTTCAATGAGATATTTTTCTTTTTCTGTCAATAGTACGTACAAACACGTGCACACACACACACACACACACACACACACACACACACACACACACACACACACACACACACACACAGACACATATATATATACATATATATATATAGATATGTAGGTGTGTGTGCGCGTGCGTGAGATAATGAAACAAAGTGTAAAAGCTTTTTGCAGACAACTCGTTTCATCTCCCTTTGTTAGGCGTTTCCAGGTCTACACACACACACACACACACACACACACACATATATATATATATATATATATATGGTTGGATGAATAAATTTGCAGCCTTATACATATTTATTTACTGAATTTCAATCTGAAATTTTCATTGTATAATACTCGACCTATAGGATTAATTACCTCTAAACTAAGTCCAAGAAAGAGATTATGTTGTGAAATTATTCAATATGAAAAATAAATTTTCGTACAGAGTTAAATCTTTATTCCGTAATCCTTCATAAATGATGTCAGTTAATCAATAAGTCTATATCCTAACAAGAATATTGTATAGATTTTCTTGTATGATATTAAATGTATAATAATTAATAATGTAGAAGTGTGACGTTTTTTGCCTTAACAACGAAGGAAATTACTTTGAAAAATAAATATTTGTCGTGGGAAGTAAATGCTTTATCATTAATATACGAGTTTATTTATCTACCTCTATATATTAAAGCTATGAGGCAACAAAAGAAACAAAAAAGAGGAAAACTGATGAACAATATTATACACCAAACAATAAAAGGAGAAAACATTACAGGAAAATAAAAGGTAACAAGAAGAAAAAGAGAAAAAGGATTGTAGAAAAAGATTAGAATTATTTTTCTTTTTATCCAATGAAAAAAGAGAAGCAGGAATTGTAGAAAAATGATAAAAAATCGTTTCTCAATTTATCCAATGAAAAAAAGGAGAAAATTAATTTGTAGAAAAATATAAACAAATATTTCCTTTTTTTATCCAATAAATAAAAGAGATAAAAAAGGTTGTAGAATAAGATTAAAATTCTTTTCTGTCTTCATTCAATGAAAAAAATGATAATTTTACTTCCTTTTATCCAATAAAAAGTTGAAAAAGGAAATGGTAGAAAAAGATAAAAATTATTTTTCTCTTTATCTAATGAAAAGAAAAAGAGAAACAAAAATTGTAGAAAAATTATAAAATTTATTTTTTCTCTTTATTTAATAAAAAAATGAATAGAATTTGTAGAAAATTATTTTCAAAATTCGTTTCTCTATTTATCCAATGGAAAAAAGTAAAAAAAAGAATTCATGGAAAAAAGATGAATTTTTCTCTTTTTACCCAATCAAAAAGGAGGAAAAAACAATTGAACAAAAAGATAATTTTGTCCTTTTTCATCCTATAAAAAGGATAAAGAAAGAACTGTATGGAAATTCATTTCTCTCTTCATCCTATAAAAAAGGGGTAAAAGGATTGTAGAAAAAATTATTTTTTTCTTTATTAAAAAAAAAAAAAAATGACAAAAAACAGTATTATAATTTTTACCAACCCGGCATATGTTTTAACCTTGATAAACATATGCGACACTTACAACTCAAGTATTCTACATTAGCACCAAAGTTAGCGAACTCTTTCTATGAACTGACAATTATTAGATTATATAATTTATTTGAAGGTAGCTTTTGCTTCACAATGTATATATATCTATTACACACACACACACGCGCGCACACACACACACATATATATATCCATGTATGTATGTATATATACACTTTTTCTACGTCGGTTTGTATTTAATAAAAAGTTAAAATAATGAAATGAAATTTAATTATAGGTCTATTTACGTTCGTGATGTACAAAAGATAAATATTTCATTTACTCAAAACGAACGTTCATGAAATAAAGGTAATAGACAAAATATGTAATGAAGTGGTGAAACATGTACTAATTTAAGTGAAATATTTTATGAACATAAGCGGGATCTTTTACAAAGCAATACATCAAATACATTCGTCATTCATCGTATTAGGTTTGACCATAATTACGACTTAAAGAATGCGGTTCATATAAAAAAAGAAAGACATTTATAAAGATGCAAAATGTATTGAAAGTGTACCAATTTCAGAAATCTCTTATACAATTGTTGTAACCTAGGAAGGGTTACTGAATGAGGAATAACCAAAACGGAGTTTGGAAATGAAACGGTAATCTTTATAGCATCAACAAAATACAATACTCGCCAGCGGCGTTAAGTAGGTAAACCACTGCAAGTGATGAACTACGACAGCATATTCTCTCCACTTACAATAGTGTCCAACGTATTTATGAGGATTGGGACATACCCATTAGTGCTCGTAAGTACCGTATATAATAACAATAAACCTCCTTTATTTACAAGATTATTTTTGATGCAAATTGGAATGATTAAAAAACCAACAACAAAAAATAATGATAAATGATAAAGGCGATCCAAAGCACAATGAGATATGTTGTTTCAAAATTTAGTTTTATCGAGTGTCATAATTCTAATTTATATGTTGTGTGTCCTTATATCTTCAACGTTTCGACGTAAGTCATCGCTCGTCCATTTCCTCGACTTTCTTATATAAGACTAATTCTATTTATAAAACTCTTATGCCATCCAAAGAAATTTATTCTTAGAACTAAAAGCTTCACTATAGAGTTTTCCATCTTGTCAAATGTTTGTTCACTATTGGACTGATGCATATAATATTTTTATATCAGATTATATTTTACCTAATGAAATTTACAAATAAAATATGTATTATTATATATAATTGATAAAAATATATTTGTATTTCTATAAAATGGCATATATTTATTTACATACATATTATAAACTTATTTAAAGTTAATTATAACAAACTTAAGTATAAAATAATATACAAAAAGGATCAAATACATATATATACATATGCATATGTATATATATGTATGTACAAACATATTCAAGGAAGCATATATATACATATATATATATATATATATATATATATATATATATATATATATATATATATATATGTGTGTGTGTGTATGTGTGTGTGTGTGTGTGTGTGTATGTGTGTGTGTACAAGTATATCTATCTATCTACAATAATTTTGTGTCCTGGCTCATATAACATTTCAATATTTCCTGACAGAAGTTGTAATATCTCAATGAGGAATGCCTATTTACAAAAGTGATGGAAAGAAAAAGAAAAAGACTGTAAATGAATTCGGCTAAATAAAAAAAAACCCCTAAAATTCCAAGTACCCCCTCGTGTCGTGCGCATGTGTAGTTCTTCGAACATAACAAATTTAGTCCCATGAAGTCCTGAAGGACGAAACGCGTCACAAGTAAACCTTTTCCTGTTTATCATACAATTTCCCCAATACTTATCTGGATATATAAAAATATATCGTTATCTATCTATCTATCTATCTAGCTAGCTAGCTAGCTAGCTATTTCATTCAGTTTCTTTCACTCATTATATTGTTTATCTATCTATCTATCTATCTATCTATCTATCTATCTATCTATCTATGTATATATATACATGCACACACATATACATATGTATATAATCTATCTATCTATATATCTAATTCCGTTCATTTCTCTCTACTGTCCAATTTTTGTATTTATCTCACGTGATATGCTTATCTATCTATCTATCTATCTATCTATCTATCAACCTTAAAATATTACATAAATGTATCATTATATAAAAGACAGAAGTATGCATTATTTCATATAAAATATAGTGGACTTTACAATATTATTTTCTATAGATAATATATCTATATGAAATATTTTAAATATTTCAAATTTTTCCTATGAAAAAAGTGATTTAATAGAGACTTTGAAATAATAGAATTGATTGAAATTCTAAACTTCCACGGGGCAATAACCGATTGGAGTAAAGCATTGTGAATTTGATGACATAGTAAGTGCGAGTTCAATTCCTGAGATAAGTAGTGCATAACTAGATTTAGTGGAAACAGGACAAAGAATAACGGAATAGTACTTTAATGATGAACAAGAGGAAGTATCCCCACGTGGATTAAATAAAAGTTTAGCAAGAAATTCCTTCAACATGACTCAGCTCAAAAGCATTTGATGAAGGCCGGACTGCACATCGGCCGAAATTTTATGAAGTAATATCAAAGATAAGTACTATAGACGTAATGTAAATTTAAATGCAACGTCAATCGGACTCTTCTGTCTTTTTTAAAAACATTTTCCGTTTATCGTCCATTCTCCCCATTAATGTCTTCTCACTTTTTTTCATTCTCAGTAATTGCTTGCTTCTGAGTGTTTTATCACCTTGCCTGGGTGAAATTATTTTTTTAAAGTAATAATTAAAAAGCTATTGTATTTCAATACTAATTTCATCTGACTCGAATAAATAGTTGAATATATATATATATATATATATATATATATATATATATATATATATATATATATATATATATATATAATTCCCAGTATCCCACGTTCGTGGGCATCTGTAATCGTACCAACATAGCAAATTTATTCCTATGAAGTCCTGAAGCATGAAACTCGTCACAAGTAAACTTTTAAAGTTTTATATACATTTTACGCAATATTGATCTTGATATCTAAAAATATATATCGTTTTCTCATATATATATATATATATATATATATATATATATACATATATATATATATATATATATATATATATATATATATATATATATATATATATAAAAGAAAAACAAACCACTTTATGGTACCATTATAATAATTTATTTCACCAGAGCCCTTTCCAAAAATGAAATGAAACGAAAAATGAAATATATTAGCTCTAGATTTACATTGAACTCTCAGGATTTCATCCACCTTGGGATTACATATATATATATATATATAAATAAAAAGAAAGAACAGTAAGATATAAAATCCGGTGTTCTTATAGATATTTTTATTTTTACAAATATATATATATATATATATATATATGTATGTATTTCCCAGTGTATGTGTGTGTCTGTGTGTGATATTTTTAATATATATTTTTAAGCTAAAATCACCTACGTTTCGCCGTAAAATGGTGTAATGACAATAAAAATATAATTCTACGCTTGGCATGGATATTAAAGTTTATCGGGACTCAGTTTATGAAACGGATTTTTTAACGATTCTTAAAGGAAATGTATGTTGTTTAAATTGACTCGTTTGTCTTAACATGAGTTTCAACGACAGGATTCATCTCACACTTGAAGAATATAAGAAATCCAAAAGGCAACATAAAAAAATAAATAAATGAATGATCGACATTTACATGAGATTGACGAGAGTATGTATAAGGTGTGTAATTAAATAAAGGGACTGTACGTCAATGAAATGTTTGTTAAGGGAAAGAAACTTATGTTTTACTCAAAAAATGAATCTAACGTCAAAAAATGTCGAAACGATAGCCTTGACGATTAAGACATTTGTTCGTGAAATTGTTGGCAGATTAATCGTGAGTTCAATCCCAG